CATTTCATTTTGGAGCAAAAAAATGCACTTCACTGGGCCTTTAAGTACAGTAATGAAGTATTTGTACTCCACTCCTTCCCACCTCTGAAGATAAAAGGTAGACATGTTTTATTCCCATTAGTTTAAATATGAGATCACAATGAGACGTGTTCAGCCCACTCACTTTGAAGATGCCTCCTTTCTGCCAGGCGATCTTCTCGATGGTGTCTCCAAGAATCTGAGTGTGGTCGATTCCCAGAGACGAGACGCCACACACCCACGGACGCCTGTGTGACATTTAAACAATCAATTCAACTTTATTTATATAGCACATTTAAAAACAACAGAGTTCACCAAAGTGCTGTACATCAAAAAATATATAAAAAGCATCATAAAAACATTTGGACAAAACTGATAGGACTGAAAAAACAAATGTAAAAGCACGAGACAATGAAACCATACTTATAGCCACAGACTGAAAAAAACTCTCATACATGTTAAACATTTTAATACACAACAAAATAGAAAACACAGACTGATACGTGGTATATATATATATATTGGAATACATAGTATTCTATGTATAGTAGTATGTATAGTATAGTAGGAATATATAGTGGATATACGTGGTCTGCAAAAGCAACACACACACGAACACAGAGACAGAGAGAGACACACGCACACAAACACAGAGACAGAGAGAGACTCACACACACGAACACAGAGAGAGAGACACACACATACATGAACACAGAGAGAGAGACAGACAGACAGACAGACAGACACTATCTTTAACCGTAACTGGGGGAAACCTGTCGATGTATTGATCTCTCATCTACAACAGTATTGGTTCTGTGCTAACACTCTTATCGGTGTGTCCTCCGCTCTCTGATAACGTGAGATCATGTTGATCAAGCAGCTTTAATTGGGTCTGTTTATCTGTGACGAAGCTAAAGCTAAATTCTCTAATACATAACATATTAAGGCTCCTTCACAGAGACCTTCGTCCAGCAGAGTCTGATCACAAGTCATTTAAGGACACGTGGATCAAACATACAATCACTTGATCGTCTTGAGACTTACCTTATGATGTTGGTGCAGTCGTACGCTCCACCAATCCCAACTTCAATTACAGCTAAATCCACCTGAGCAGAGAACACAGTGGTTTAGACTTGAGAAGTTAGTCCTTTAAAAAGGTCCAGTATCATGTTCCAAACCACATCAAGGATTATCTCTGAAACAGTATGGAGCTCAAAGGCTTTCTCTGTCGTGGGTTTACCTCAAGTTCCTTTTTACTTCCTGCTTCTTCACACACATGCTCTCCAGTACAGGTTAGCTCTGAGTGTTAGCGATGCTAACGTAAACACCGACCATATTACGTCCAAAACAGTCGGGCATTGTTTCTGATAGCAACGTTTCTGATAGGGCCGTGGGTCCACATTTCAGATATTACGTCATATCGGACGCAAATCTGGATCAGCTCCGTTGTTCCCCATTTTTAGAGATTTGGGTACGGAGGAAAAGAGAGAGGGTTTTATTTTCTGACGCTGCGTGAGTTCCCCGACACACCGGGGACACATCTTTATGTAATAAGACATCAGAAAGTGCATTTTGCATGATAGGAGACCTTTAAAGGTGGGGTAGGTAAGTTTGAGAAACCGGCTCGAGATACACTTGTTGTTATATTCCATTGAATGCTCTTAACATCCCGATAGCAATGAATATCTGAAGTGCTTTGACAATAAATCCATAAAAAAAATTCATCTGTGGAAGCTGTGGTACTGTAAAAAGCTCGACCAATCATCTGAGCCGGCTAAAGTAACAGGATGGCCTACCTGCCTGTGAGCCTTCCATCTGGGCACAAACTTATCTCGTGCCCTCGTTGGTCATGTGCGCGTTCGTGTGTGTTGGAGGAGGGGCTCTGTAAGGAAGGGGCAACGAGGGCACGAGATAAGTTTGTGCCCAGATGGAAGGCTCACAGGCAGNGTCTGCAGACAGACGGCAGGCGAAAAACCTTTTAAAATGCGTGTTTTCTGAATGGAGATCGGATCGATCAGGCTAAGCTAACGTTGTATATGCTCCGTCCACACTCACAACAACGGCCTACAGACATAAATAAACCAGCGACTGTATTCACCATGACACAGACAGTCTGTGGTTTGTACTTGTTTAACTTTTGTCTAGTTTCTGAACAGATATGAGGAGCTGTGAGCTCTGAGTGCTAACAGCTAACGGTTGATGTTATGGTTTTGTGGTTCGCATTGAAGATGACGTATTTGCGTGATCATGAATTTCTGTGTTTACAACTGTTATACAACATAAAACTGGCTGATACACGGCTTAGTGGAATGCTCCATTCTGATTGGTCACATCACAGAGGTTGTTAATTTTTGCTAACCGGACAATGTAGAGGGCTGAGCAGAAAACATAGAAATAGAGATTGTCTTGAAGGCATTGGCAGTGTTTTTTGTCTTTTTATCTCATGGATTAGTATAATACTCAATGCTGATTTGTCGATTTCTAACATTACGCAGTCTGCTAATGCTCGCTAGCAGACCGTTGCTAAGGAGAGCAGACCGTTACTAAGGAGAGAGCAGACTGTCGCTAAGGAGAGCAGACTGTTGCTAATGATAGCAGACTGTTGCTATGGCGGATCGAGCGACTGTGTGCAGTCATATCAATCAATTCAATTCAATTCTTATTCTTCAGGAACTTGTCAATATTCCAATTACATTGTCATAAGTGCACTGTAGCTATGTACACAAGACAATAAAAGCCTTGAATCGTGAAGTAAACACTTAATCAGTTCTCATTATTAAATCTAAATTGTGAGTGAAGTAATTGGTTTTATAGTATCAAGCCATGTACTGTAGTACGCAGGAAAATGTGCTGCGAGGCGGTCATTATTGAAAAAGAACACCAACAGTGTGAGCAACATGTTTGTTATACTTGTTCTTTTTTTTTTTACAAGTACCTGTATCCTTTAAGAACACTCTATTTAAAAAAAAAAGTCTTTGTACTTTGGGTGAACTATGTCTTACCCCCGCCCTCCCTGCTGTTCTTCTTAATCGACTGTGGGATCGCAGTCGTTCCCCTATCGGCCTAATTACCGCCAAGAAATGTAAATAACATTATACAACAGTAGCGCCGGCCTCATTCTGCTCGGCACACAGAGGCAGGAGAGGAGGGAAGAACGAGCAAATGGAGAGAGGAGAAAGAAGCAGATTTATGTAACCTTTTTTTTGTCATATACGATTCTCTTTTATTGGCAGCACGTAAAGATAAGACATGATTGAGGATAATATGTTATATCTAGGCAAGGGAAACTCTGAAGCCGTTCTTTTTTTGGTTTGTAAAAATGTAATTAGCGATGTCGGCAGGTTTCTCAAATCAAAGTATCAAAAATACTGACAGACCTTTACGGTAAAGGATTAGGGCCACATGTGATTTAATATTTTAGACCTGGTCAAAAGTGCATTTCTTTTTTGAGTTCTGAGATTCAAGTCATAATTCTGACATTTGTTTAAACAATTCTGACTAATTCTCACTGCCTTTTTCTGTATAATAAATAAAGGTTTTAAAGGGGACCTATTATGCAAAATGCACTTTTTTATGTCTTTTATACATAACTATGTGTCCCCGGTGTGTCAGGGACCTCACGCAGCGTCAGCAAATAAAACCCTCTCTCTTTTCCTCCGTACCCAAATCTCTAAAAACGGGGGAACAACGGAGCTGATCCAGATTTGCGTCCGATATGACGTAATATCTGAAATGTGGACCCACGGCCCTATCAGAAACGTTGCTATCAGAAACAATGCCCGACTGTTTTGGACGTAATATGGTCGGTGTTTACATTAGCATGGCTAACACTCAGAGCTAACCTGTACTGGAGAGCATGTGTGTGAAGAAGCAGGAAATAAAAAGGAACTCACCTTGTGGTATAACCGGCAAGAGAGAAAGCCTTTGAGCTCCATACTGTTTCAGAGATAATCCTTGATAATCCATGATATGGCGTTTCATCACGGCAGTATTTAGTTTAGACAGTAGCTGCCGGGTCCCGCATGAGCTCAGACCCCTCCTTTTTAAAGCTTTATACCCCAAATCAGCACTTTTGAAACAGGAAGTGAAATAGAGGGATATGAGGCATGGCTAGAATGGGTGATTTGTTTAGTATTTTGAGCAAAACACTTCATAGACGTGTTTTTTATNCCTTGAGAGCGAGGCGCGGCGAGGCGGCGCAGTTCCTCTCCACGGGCTGCGGAAGCGAAATGCTTGATGGGAAACGACTCGCTGGTATCTCGAGCTGAGCGCTCATTGGTGGTTTTTACCACGTGCTGGTGATGAAACTCTGCCAGATTGGCTCGGCAAAAGTTTGTTGTTGCTTTGGTGTCAGTCTTTAGCCTCGCCACTTCCATTCACATTTTTCATCATTGTTCCACAATGTTTATCATCATGAAATTAATATCTATATATTTTTATACTTGCACTGCTTACCGTTTTCATACTTTATATATCTTAGCATATTCATACACACCTTTCATACTGCTCACAGGCTGCTGTGTATATCTAGTGTATTCATACACACTGTTCATAGTGCTCACAGGCTGCTGTGTATATCTAGTGTATTCATACCCCTCACTGTTTATTCATCGTTCACTTCATTCTATATTTTATCCTTTAGATTGTGTACATTACTTTTCACTTTACTGCTTTGTGCACTCCTGGTTAGAAGCTAAACTGCATTTGCTTGTCTCAGTACCTGTAATCTGTGCAATAACAATAAAGTTAAATCTAATCTTGAGCAGGAACAAATGTATTTACTTAGTACATATCTGACATTAACGATTAAACACATTTGTGCATTCTTTATAAATGCAAACCGAGTCCAGCCGACTCCGGAGGTGGCGGTATGCACCTTAAAGTTGTTTGCAATCCGCCAAAAAACAGAGAGAAGAAGAAGCCGACTCCTAGCTGTCCGACTTCAGGCGAGCTTTTTGAGACCTCCCCCCGGCTGCGATCGGCTATTCTCGTCTACTTTCGAGGCGAGCCGCAGCTCGTCTCAAACAAGCCTGATGACTGCTGAAGACTTTAGTGGGAATTCAGAAGCTAAATTGTTATTAAATCCATCTGCTGAACTTGAACTCTTTAGAGAGCGATTACCCAACCTGTGCCAGTGTGGAGTAACTCATATAAAAGATCATTTTGTAATCATGTGTGTCACCATGTCATTGTGGGGTTTTCCTCCCAATCAGGAGCACCCTTATATATTCATCAATGGCATTTAGTCTTAATAAAACTCTCTATTGTGCGTTTATAAAGTGGAGACAATTCATTCTGTAGGAGGTGGAAACAATGTTGAGATGATCAGAGCATGCATGGGGACGACCAAAGAAAAGCAGTGAGGAAGCGGCACCTACCCTCTGTAGACTCTGAGCAGCAGCAGAAAAACAGCAGAGAAAAAGATTTAGGATCAGAAAAGCACCAATAAATCTCAAGCAAAGCAGACAAATTCATATAAATTACATGCAAGCATTGTTGTAATAAAGTGCTGAAAATATCAAAGACAATGGCACAACTTTCACTGAAAACTTCTTAAAATAGGAATACAAAATATGTGTTGACATTTTATCACACTAACAATTTTCTTAAATTCTATAAGAATTCCGGCGTAGATTTTGTTCCCTTCTGTTCTCATACATCACAACTATGACACCTGTTTTGGATTAATCCAAAAGCAAGCCTGGAACCCATCACCTAATCTTTTCCTTTTAATATCTGAAGGAAAGAGGGCAATAACCACCCACACTAAAACAAACTTATATAAGTGATTGTTCTGGTTAAGCCTGTTTGACTTCATTTTCACTACATGGGACGCGTTTTTACAACCCAGTTTAGATTAAACCACGCCCACTTCCACATTAATGTAGCTCTGGGTGACGTATAAAGAGAACGTCTGCAGCAAGAGGAACATTTGTTATCCTCTGACAGTGTTGGAGAGTAATAAAGTACATTTACTCAAATACTGTACTCATGTAAAAAACGTGAAAAAAACAAAAAACAAGCTATTAAACTAGAGTACATATTGGTTTTTAGTTCATTATATTTAAATTCATGGTGAATTCATACTAAAGATTATAATTAACATTTACTCAGCTATGCTTAACTATGACGTTCTTTCATATTGAGAAAGCGCTATTTCCATCTACTTTGAAAAAGATGCTCCATGAATTCATATTTGGTAAAGAAAACTCCTAGGCTGACGCTCTGACGCTGCACTGACTGAATAATAACCCATATCGTTTTTTTCCAAGCTATAGTAGATATGATATTACTTTTGTTAACATGGGGAAGTTCTCTTTATAGGTCCATAACGCAGTCACGCAGAGCTAAGTTAATGCAGAAGTGGGCGTGGTTAAATCTAAACTGGGTTGGAAAAAACTGAAAGACGCGAATGGGACAGCTACATTTGACTACACCACTTTTGGTACCAGTAAGGTTGAGCCTTACTGAGCCTTGTGCTTCATGTGCTTCATTCACTTCAGGAGCATGCTGACTGTTACACAGCACTCGATGGCTTAGAGAGGTTTGTTTCAGCTGAAAAGCACAAGACTGGTTTCCTCCATCGCTCTTTCCCCAAGTACACTCTCCAGCTCAAACCTCAGAAATCCAAAGGCCTGTAGAGCGCACATTCAGGCCTTAACTGTATATCAAATGTCCCCAAGAGAACACCAGAACGCTTCCTCAGCAATGAGAGCAGCCAGAAAATCATACTACTCATAATCTCTGACCAAAACAATCCTAGACACCTGTTTTTACAATAAATCAATGCTTGTTCCTGGAGATTCCTCTGGATCCTGAGGATCTCAAATCTGCATTTGTTTAGCAAAGGTCTTGGAGTTGGCCCTTTAAAAGTGTTGCAATAGTGTAAACACGTTAGCAGCAGTGTGTGGACTCACTTCTCCAGCAGAGCCAGGGCAGTAGCTGGGTTCACTCTCAGATATTTGGAGGTTGGTTGGCCGTAGTCTGCCAGGTACGTTGACCAGTCCCACACCATGAACAGATCCAGGAGCTGTAAAACAGACACAACACTCAGAACAGAAGCCCACTTCAGAAACAGAAGAAGATTGAGGCTGGTGGCGGGTGACTGTTTGAACGTAAAGTTATCAGTCATTTTTGATTACAGGATAAATGACTTCAGTGTTTCAGCCAGTATTGTTGGGAGGAGGTCAAATGCTCCCTCCATGAGAGATAATACAAATATTGTCAAATATGGTGAGTTCTACAAAACATAAAAAATAGCATTTGCCCTACAGTAAAAAACGTTGGAACCGTCTGTTATTTTGATTCTATTCTTTCTTTCTTTGCGGCAGCGGACACAAATTTGAATCCAACCTGCTCCTCTTAAGCAAGTCTTCCCATTTATCTCCCCTTTCAAAACAGTCAATCTCCAAAAAAGGGCAATCTGACCAAAAGCATTTTATATTTTTCAGTTTGAGCCCCAACATATGAATAAACTGATTAAAAGTTCCATTTAGTTGATGTCCCCACAGTGTTGCATTTCCACTAGAGCATAGTGCTAGTGATTCTTGATAATTATTGGTCAGTTGGAGTTAGTGTGTTTATTTGGGCCCTCTGCAGTCTAGGTTCGATTGAAGAGGTTTAAACTCTGGTTTGACAGTCCATCGATCAGCTAACCCCTTGACAATCCTATTGTGAAGTTTGAACAAGAGCTCTGCTAAAGCAACATGTACAGTTGCAAGAAAAAGTATGTGAACCCTTTGGAACTACCTGGATTTCTGCATAAATTGGTCATAAAATGTGTTCTGATCTTCATCTAAGTCACAACAATAGACAAACACAGTCTGCTTAAGCTAAAACCACACAAACAATTATATGATTTTATGTTTTTATTGAACACACCATGTAAACATTCACAGTGCAGGGTGGAAAAAGTATGTGAACCCTTGGATTAAATAACTGGTTGACCCACCTTTGGCAGCAATAACCTCAACCAAACGTTTCCGATAGTTGCATATCAGACCTGCACAACGGTCAGGAGGAATTTTGGACCATTCCTCTTTACAAAACTGTTTCAGTTCAGCAATATTCTTGGGATGTCTGGTGTGAATCGCTCTCTTGAGGTCATGCCACAGCATCTCAATTGGGTTGAGGTCAGGACTCTGACTGGGCCACTCCAGAAGGCGTATTTTCTTCTGTTGAAGCCATTCTGTTGTTGATTTACTTCTGTGCTTTGGGTCGTTGTCCTGTTGCATCACCCATCTTCTGTTGAGCTTCAATTGGTGGACAGATGGCCTTAAGTTCTCCAGCAAAATGTCTTGATAAACTTGAGAATTCAT